GGCGGTGGCGGCGGCGGTGGTGGGGGGGGCAAGGGGGAACCAAAAATTAGTTTGTGATGGGAAGTTTTATGTGGGTTGTACAGTGTTTCGGGTCCAAGGACGAAAGGCTGCTGCTACTGTTGTTACAAAAAATTCTGCAAGGCTCCGAGGCCTGGGACACTGAGGGCCATGTGCGAGTTTCGTCTCAAATGCAAGAAAGGCCCTGAATATGTTTAAGGGGTAGATTCGGGGATCCTAGTTTTGAGAAACTCCCACATGCTCACTCTACTTCATAGATTGTTGTCTTGAAGTACTTGCATGTAGTAGAGCTTTTCTTGAACAATGGCAAGGAACTTCACATTGTAAGTCCCGTCGTCGTTGACTTTGTCGATGGTTCCGGGGTACCACTGCTCGTCGTCAGGGTACCTACGGCCGTGCTCTCTGGCAAGCCACTACGTTGCTATGAGCAAAGACGGGCTAAAAGCCACATGCTAAACGGTGGCTGGGAATCCTATAGAGTCTCACGGAAGTCGTGTGCTACCTGCTTTGGCAGTACTCTTATCAATGTAAACGCCCCATGTCAGTTTACCAGCTGCTTGGAAGATGCAGTTTCGAGAATACTTGAAACAAGGATATCAAATTCGGGGCCTAGAAGAAGGACCCATGTCTGAAGAATACTGGTGCAGAAGGTAAGTGTTCAGAGCTGCAGACTATGGGCTTTGGGTGAATCTTATACTTTGTGAGCTATAGTCCAAATCCCCCCTAATAACCCCTGTCGTAGTCACCTATATAAACCCCCTTTAGGGAGTTTAGACTCTAAACCCTAAACCCCACATTATATAGCCCCCTTCAAGGAGTTTAGACCCTAAACCCTAAGTTATATTCTACCCGCTGTAGGAGTTTAGGCTACAGACTACCTACAGTTCATGCGAAAGTCATGGTTGACCGGATGCGTCAGGTCCCGCAACTCTCACAATGAAGGCCCCGGTTACATACATAGGTTCAGGGTTTAGAGTTAAGGTTTTAGGCAACCCCAATTACCTACAGTTTCATGATTATATTCTTCTAATCAAGGAGTGATTACTTCTAAGCTGTGGGTAATTGGGGTTACAGGTACATGCCAATCTTAGGGACCAGGGACTAGTATGGAAATGCGCCAGAAATATGGCCCTGCTGCAGAAGGCCCCTAGAGCAAGGGCCCTCTTGTCTTGGGTAACCGACTCTTCTAGGTTTAAGGTGTATTTTTTGCCTCCCGCTTGGCTGGCACGCA